CTACCGCTTCCGCGTGCATGGGGAGCCGGCGCACTGACCCCCGGCTCCCGTGCGGGACGAGGATGCTGCCGGGGCCGACAGCAGGAGGGGATTTGTCCGGTTTGCCGCTTCGCACGTAGAAATCCTGGGATGTGCCAGCAGCTGCCCCGGGAAGCTGCTCCCCTCCGGGGAGGAGAAGAGCTGGTGATTAAGGGGTGAGGCTTTCACTCTTCCAAGGACCGGGGTGGCGAGGCAAGAGCGTCCCACGTGGGTCCTAGCGCAGCCTGGCTTGTTTTCAGTGCGTATCGGACACTTTAACTTTTTAAGCTAATTTTTATCGGGTCTGCACAGCCCCTCATCCCCGTTGCCCTGCTCCTCTCTGACGGTGTGCCTAGTGTAACCGGGGCTTGGGAAAGGGGTATGTAACTTTGCAATGTGCTTCACGCGGGCTTGGGCGTACAGGACCGCGATGACCGGCTCAGTGCTGCCGGAGTAGGTGGACCTTCCACACAGGATCATTCCTGCCTTGGTGTTGGTGTAGGTAAAGATCTCCAGACCTCCGATGCTGGGCCGGCAGAGGGGAAATAAGACAGTATTAATGAAGTATTAACATAAAACCTAACGGTTTGGGGCAGCAGGAGGGGAGAAATTCGGCACGCGTTGGTGGCAAAGCCCACCCCGGTGCTGCCATCCGTCCGCTCGAGCCCTCCTGCCGCCGGCGGCTGTGTTGGGTCTTGACGATGCTGTTGGCCACCCCGGCTGGCCGGCTCCCCGGTGTTAAGCTTGACGATGCTATTGAAAACTCCCGTCGCCTGCTTCCTCTTTTGGGTTTGTTCTGTGGTTGTTGTTTTCAAGGGGGGCAGGGGGGTGAGTTATTTTCCAGTTGGGGCGTTGGGGATTTTTTTTGTAGTAACAAAGGAAAAACGATTTTTTTCCATGCAATTTCTACTTAACCGGAGAACGCTATGTGGAGCCGCTCGAGTGAGTGGCTTAGACGTGGAGAGGGCTAGAGCTTTTTTTTAATAAGAGAATAGCGCGTGCAGTAGGATAAGCTAGAATAAGATGAGCAGAACTGTTAAAAATAAGGGTCGTTGGTGGCTTGGTAGCTGGACCTGAGAGACAAGGTCCTCTGTGGACTGCTGCTCGGTGGGGTGCTGGAGGCATTCCT